CATTGAGTGGGTCTGCGAGTATGGTAGACAAATTACTATAGCGTCAGGAATATGTGGGAGGAGCTGATGCTTCGTTGTTTTCGTTTTGACTGAAGTCTGGCTCTGGTCTACTGAGCAAGATATTGGCTAATTTCTCCAGTCATAGAGTGCACCGACCCGAGCAACAGGTTGGTAGAGGGGTGATTTTCTTTGCTAAAACCAACCATAAGTACTGGAAAGCTCCTTTCTCTGTGGCAACGTCAAACGTCCAGCTTGTTTCTTACATTTTGCGGGCTAACGGAAACTTTCATCTATGTGTACCGTAGCCTTTCTTCCACAAGAGTGGGGGGACAAGCAGCTCAGCAACAGGTTAATGCACGCGGCAGTTGCTGCACCGTATGTGGTTATACTTGGTGACCTAAATATGCTACATGCGGACTAGGAGTACTCAGACAATGTGACGTTAGTTTGGAGTGGGGATTGGTTAAATGGATTCACAAGCATGTGTTCATTCAACACGTTGTCCTTTCGACGGGAAGTCGAATTGGGACTACCCCTTCAGTTAGATGTTGTAATGGCTAGGCATGACCATGTAACAGAGATGTATGCAGAGGCTCTCACACGTTGGAGTGATCCCTGTGAGTTTACATTTTCGCTGAATGTGCAGAAGCTGCTATTGGAACCTCGAGTTGCAAGCAATTTTGGTCGAATCCGTATTTGTCATTTGCAGAACAGGGCCCTCTAGGTCCCTCGGACTCCTGCTCAAGAACAGGCCAACGTAGAGCAAAGATAGAATATTCTTAAAGTTGGTCTCCTGCAATTACTGGGTGCGTTCATCCCCTTGCACCCCGAAAGAAGCAGGAATAAGTCCTGCTGATGCTGACGGGGAAGTGCCCGAATGCTTCGGTGATGTAATACTTAATGGAAAAGTTGACTGGAATCCGGTGACTTTAGACAGTGGCTAGACTATAAATGATACCAGAACGGGGCAGTCAAATTGCGGAGGAGGGCTAGCTATCGTTATGAGCTCAGATTAGCTCCGAATGCAAAAAAGAAATTCGAAGTTGCTTTGTTGTTATGTACAGTCAAAAGCTTCTTTGAAGAAGGGGATTGGTAACCTGATTACGATGGTACTCAGGTTGTGGAAGATGCGGCCAAGGCGGAGGTGCCATTGCGTGTTATTCAAAACCTGCACCGTGCGGACAGTCGCTCTATAGTCCCCTCGCGTTCACGGTGCTCATAAGATATTGAAATGCAAAAGTTTTAATAAGCGCATCAGAGGCCTTTGAGGTGCTGGCTGGCTTAAACCCTTAGAAAACTGCGGGCCGTGAGCACTTCCATCCAGCGATTGTTAAATCGCTCTATTATATTATCCAGCATCCCGTATTGGACCTCTGCAACTGTTCTCTTTTAGAAGGTGAGCTGCCACGTGACAGAAAAGAGGCGACTACTGTGGCAATTCATTAAGGGGGCTGCAAGTCTGCGCAACACAACTAGGCTAGGCAGTCTGACAAGTGTTCTGATTAAGTGCCTAGGGCTGCTTATTAGGCACCGCATTTGTGAACACTTCGTTTTTAACAAGTTACTTGGAGGGGAACAGCATGGCTTCGTTAGAAAGAACTCATGTCATAGGAATCTGTTGTGTTTCTTGGACATGATAACTCGATGCCTCGATATTGGGATTCCAGTGTGACCTGCTACCTAGACTTCAGTAAAGCATTTGAGGTCATTAATCATTATTTGTGACTAGAGTAGCTGACTTGGTTTGGGTAGCATGCTCAACTGATGACTTGGTTGTCGGATTTCCTTTGCAGTTGAACCTTCACTGTCAGAATTGGTGAGGCCGAACCTAGCTTTGGCACTGCTCAACACTGGGTCACCCAGTGTTCACTGCTATGGCGATTGCTGGTTCGCATGGTTATTAATGATCTGACACCACTCTTAGAGAACCCTTACTACGTTTTAGCGGACAGTGTCGAGCTTGCTAGTAGGAGAGATAGAGGTAAGCTGTATAAAGACCTGGGCACTGTAATAAACTGGTTTACATTATGGGACTTGCTACTGAACGCGAACAAACGCCAGCAGATACCATCAAGAAACGTTAGGATTACAGTACTAACATCTACTGCGTATTTGATGTGGCAGTACGTAGACAAGGCCAGGGACTTTGTCATCGTTATGGTAGGTTGCTTCAGGCCTTCAGCGCAGTGCCAACATGCTGTTAACAGACCGCGGCAGGATATTTTTCGCCTCAGGAGAGCGTTGTGTAGCACTATACCTGAGGTCTTTCTCCCTTCAGAAAAAGCGGTGGTTCCGCCGCACTTAGAGCATTGTGTCCAGGCTTGGGCACCCTATTTTAGAAAGGATGCCGCTTGCTCAGTGAATGTACAAAGACTTGTCAGCAGAATGATTGAAGACCAGCGTGAAATGTCAAATGTTGACCACCTGGATTGTTTAGGTTTGTTCTTATTGGAACGATGGAGACTAAGAGGAGACTTGATGGAAACGTTTAAGATTATGAAGGGTCTCAGTGGCATTAAGCCTACCGATCTCTTGGAAATAACTTCGTCTGACAACCTGAGGGGACACGTTCTGAAGCTCATGACGCATAGGTCAAGACTGAATATCCGGGCAAAATGTTTCACTAACCTCGTAGTACGTAGTTGGAATTTACTTCCCTTGCACTAGTGGAAGGTAATATTGTTGAAGCCTTTAAAAACGGCCTAGCTATGAATTGGTCCACTCTATTTACTGAATTACACCATTAGTGGGTGCCAATTAGTACCAAATATCCCGTGGTCAATAGGATGTCGAGAATAGTTTCATGAAGTTATGAGAAGTTGCTGCTCCTCTTTTTTGTCTCCATAGAATTGATGAAGTTTGGCCGTCGAAGTACCGTGGGCTCTTGCCTGCTAACCGGTACACGAAACGGGACGCTTGTTGGGCGAAGACCTGTCTCGGCCCTGGAAGCCGACCTGACCTGACCCGGCTTGAACAGCAGCTAATGTATGTATCAACAAACGTATATTAACTTATGTGCCCCATGCTGAGGTTGATGTTGCATTCATGATGCTTCTTCACCGCAGTTGGGCTAAACCAACTTACACTTAAACTAGGTCTTTTTAAGCTGGATAAATTTCATTCCACTTTATTTGGTTTGTTCTGCCTACCTGACAAATCTTCTAGTAACTGGCCCCGTTTCTTACGCTAATTGTGGTTATCTTCGTTAACTTTATTGAGTTTGTAGCATTTTTGAGTAACTTGTGGACATTTTTTCCTTATCGCGGATTCATTGCTAACCAACTGACTCCATATGCTAATTTGGCGAAGAGTTATGCCACCGTATCTGTATGCATTATTGGATTTAGTTTATTTCATGTTGTCGTTTCAAGTGATTGGCTGTTGCTTGATATCCCCGGTGTGGCTGCGCTTGATGTGCATGTTGACAAGGTGCCTACCTGTCTAGTACCCACTACCTCGTCCATACTGGCTCCAGGAGACAGTTGGTTGTTGCTGGAGGGGACGGGGTGCACGGTCCTTGTGGCCGTGCTAGGCTCGAAGAGTGGTTCCATGCACTCAATGTGGAGCGGACTACGGTCCAGCCACTGCCTTGTGTGCGCTTGATTCCCCAAATACAGTGTGCGTGTGTTTGTCTGTGAAGGAGTGTGGGCCGGCTCCGTTGATGAACCGTGGCTCCCATGCGCATGCTTCCCGGTCTTATTCCTTCGGGTTAACACTGGATATGGGGTGTGTGGTTGGAGCTGTGGGTGATGCAGCGCAAGCCACCCATGGTCCCTCTGTAGGCGCAGGCGTCCTGTGGCTGGCCACAGTGACAGGCAAATTCGAAACCGGATGCCGCCAACCATATTAACTTATACGGATCGGATCCCCTACTAATGCTTTGTACCTAATTCAGTTCGGCTTGAAACAGTAGCGTGCCAAAATGACTACGGACACATCGGTTGGATGAATCGGTTGGTGATTGGTCTCCTTATGCACAAACACACACATACGCACACACGCACCCCAATGTCTTCGCCATCCCTACCCCAGAAGGCAGGTGACGGCCACTGACATAGGCAGAACGTAGTCCGGTGCCTTGTCGGAAGAGCGATGAAAATATGCTCCGATGACAAGTGAATCCGAGCGTTCTATAATAAGAACCGTTTCATTAGCAGGAATGTGCGAACCGACTGTGCGATCGCCAAAGCACCTACAGTAGGAAGGAAGCTTGTCTACTTTTCGCCGCCATACAAATGGGATACCAGTTCCGAATATCTTAGCTAACAATTAAAAGCAGCCGTCATTAACACTACGGGGCCGCACATTTGCGCATTATCTCCACTTCCACGTCCATGCTACACCTGCAGCTGAAAGATAAAGTGTGGATGTCTCATCTTCCCGTCTGTACTAATTTACCTGCTCCTATGGAACAAGTTACACAGGTCACACCACGGAACGTTTGACTGAACGCGTTCGCGAGTATCATCCAGCGTGGCTAAGCCGAGGATTGGACAAGATGTGCACCACGGCAGTTGTCGTGCACCTAGTCCAGACTAACCATCCTGTCGTTATTAACAGACCATTTCGCCCGATCTACCGTGTGAGGGGTGTCCATTCCAAGCTTCTCAAGTGCAAAATCCTTGCATGGGCGGGAGCGATCACAATTCGTCTCAACGACCCTCCAGGGTGTGTTCATAAACAATTTGTCAAAACCTTGCGTTTACCATGGCCATCTGCAGCACAGACAGCTGCCGTGTGAACGACTCACACCAAGTATGGGCACTTTGATACCTCCATTTTCTAGCTACCCAATCCACCCTTGCTTATCTTAACTATTTAAATGTGTTGTATTTAGCATGAAGATGAACCACCAAAGACGAACTTGTTTGCTAGACCGTCTTTTCACTCGGACAATGATATCATGTGTTCCCCCACTGCGGGCACACTCACCTACCCAGAACCTTGTTAGAGCCATTAGTTGGTAATCTGCTCTTATTCTATAACATAGAGTCACTTGCTCGGGTGCGAATGAAATACTAGTTTCTTCATGTTCTTAGTATGGTCATTCGGGGACGAGCAATATATAACTCGAGGACAATGCTGTCGACGATCCCTGTGGGAATTTTCAGCAAAAGAGGGAACGTACACCTCCCCATAACGATTCCCCAACAACGAATACAAGAGAAAATAAGTTGAAACCAAGTGCATATTGAAACATTGGCCGGTGGAACTCAGGTAGTGTGTTTCACACACAGAAGCAAATGTGGGTATCGCGACGGACAAGTGACCGTTGCGAGCATGACCAAATGAACGAACGGTGGCATAGTAGCGAGCCTCAGATAGTTACTTGATCGTAACACAATGGTTGCTAAGCGGGATAAGCGTGACCAGTTCATAATCAAATTTTTACAGTATTACCTTCGGGACAGTAAAAATGCTCAGTGCACGCACATTAGATACGTTCCTCGCTGTAGATCGATTACTCCATTTGCACTTCATCTTCCAAAGTGGCATCTTGAAATTGCTGGTACTCACTTATCAAATCGTTCATATTTGACTCAGCCTCGCTGAACTCAAGTTCGTCCATGCCCTCACCCGTGTACCAGTGTAAGAAAGCGCGACGTCGAAACATGGCTGCAAATTGCTCCCCAACTCGTTTGAATATCTCTTGAATTGCTGTATTGTTCCCGATAAAGGTGACGGACATTTTCAACCCTCTAGGTGGAATGTCACAAACCGCAGTTTTCACATTGTTTGGAATCCATTCAACGAAATAGGCACTATTTCGATTCTGTACGTTCAGCATTTGTTCGTCCACTTCCTTCATCGACATTCGCCCACGGAACATAGCGGCCACTGTTAAATATTTTCCATGACGTGGATCACAGGCTGCCATCATATTTTTGCTGTCAAACATTTGATGAGTCAGATCTTGTACCGTATTGCTTCTGTAAGGTTGTGAGTGTCGACTGGTGAGTGGTGAGAAGCCGGGCATGAAGAAGTGTAGTCTTGGGAAGGGCACCATGTTGGTTGCTAATTTTCTTAAGTCCGCGTTAAGTTGACCGGGAAAGCGTAAGCACGTTGTAACCCCAGACATTGTCGCACTAACCAGGTGGTTCAGGTCTCCGTAGGTCGGTGTGCTCAGTTTCAATGTTCGATTGCAAATGTCGTACAGAGCTTCATTGTCTATGCAAAAGGTCTCATCGCAATTTTCAACCAATTGATGAATAGAGAGCGTAGCGTTGTAAGGCTCAACTACCACATCGGAAACCTGCCCAAACAGAAGGATTAATGAAGCACTTTTAGCTAAGTAAATAGATAAATACTTAAAATGAGTTGCTGCACTCGTAGCTCGGGTTGATGGACAATGACTAGATTGGAAAGCGCAATCCAGTCCAGTGGGATTGATAATGAGGCACAGAAACAATTAAAACATACAATTATTCCAGTTGTAGCAGGTACCGGACAGCACATTTCATTATCTCAACTGGAGAACGATGCAAAAAATCCCTGAAAGCCGAAGAATCCATTGTCATTTTACCTGCGGACAAGCGGCGCTTGTCGATGATAGTGACTAACACGAACTATGTTTAAAAAGCGAAACAGCTGCTGAGTAACACAACAACCTACCGCCGCATCCAGAACAATCCAACAACACAACTGACAAACAGAATAAACAGCATGTTGAAACTGCTCCAGGAACGGGACCAGATCACAAAAGATGACCGCGACAGGATGATGAGCCGCGATCCGAACATAGCACATTTCTACGCGCTAACAAACATAAAAACGGTGTTTCACTAAGACCAATCGTATCGCTCCCAAGCACACCCACGTACAACCTGGCGAAAGCGTTGTGCAGACTTCTCATGCATCTAACAACTGGATCACAGCACTCTATACATAGTGCCCAGCGATTTCTGGAGAAGCTCAAAGGTATGGGAGTAGATCAAGACGAAATAATGATATCGTCCGACGTGACCGCACTCTCTACGTTTGTCAACTTAAAGACCACAAAGCAAGCAATCATCGAACGGTTGGACCAAAGTGAGAAAACTGTTGGAAAGCTGACGACTGAAAACCTATGCAGACTACTTGACCTCTGTCTCGCGACCTACTTCGATCCTGATGGACAGATCTGTGAGCTGGTGAAGGGAGCGCCGATGCGTTCCCCTGTGTCAGGGCTCGTTGTAGAAATAATAATGCAGAAATTTAAAGAGAATGTGCTGCCCATAATCTACTCAAAGTTGTGGATCCAGTATGTTGATGATGCATTTGTGATACTGAAACACAATCAAGTAGATGTCGCATACCAGTTGCTCAATACCGTCACTGAAGACAGACATTTTACGACGGAATCGGAGATGGAAAACCGGCTCCCATTCTTAGATTTATTGATCACCAGGACGACTGACGGCGAACTGCTTGCATTGGTTTACAAAAAAGGAACATACACCGACCCAAATCTAAACTACTACAGCAATCACCCGAAATATCACAAAATAAGCTGCGTGTGAACTCTCTTTCGTAGAATTGCAACACATTGCAGCACTCTTGAGGCAAAAGGGAAAGAAGAGATATACCTGTTCAGATCACTGCACCTAAATGCATATCCACATGGCTCCGTCCGATGCTGTCTAAACTACAAAGCTAAGACCTCTCAGCTTGTTCAAACGACAACAAAGAGAATCGTTCTACCTAATGTAAAGAACATCTCCGAGATGATAGCAAGATTATTTAGACAGCACGGTCTTACAGTGGCGCACAAACCAACCGCAACATAGCGGAAAACCGTCGAAACCCAAGTTAGACCTGGAGTCAACGAAAGACGAAATGTTGTTTACAAGACACGGTATCAAGATTGTGATAAGAACTATGTGGGTCAGACAGGAAGGTGACTCAACAACAATACAAGAGCATAAGAGAGGTTGTAAGAACCAATACGTTCTCTCTGTTTTCAGTACATACGGACGAAGAAGGATATCGTTTTGATTAGGACACAGAGGTCGTAGCAAAAGGAGAAACACGTAAAGGAAGTGCATTTCTCGAAGAATGGCACCCGACGAAGCATTCAATAAACTTGCACATCGAGATTGATTCAGTTTACCAAACGTTACGACGGACAGAACTAAAGCAGCTTAAAAACGGTCGTGCGCAGCTAAACGAGCCATCAACAACACAACCGCAGTAGCCGGGGCAAAACCATCCCATGGATCGCTCGTGTCTATCAAAGAAGCTGGGCAGACGGGTGAAGGCCACAAAGTGTAGATCGAGGAGGTCAGTTCAAAAGTCACAAATCGACGACCAAGTCAGTGGACTACATTTGACCAAGCAGCGCACTGAGGAACTCAACTCATTTGGTGAGGAAACGTTCGCATACCAATTACGAAGCTCGAAGAACAGGGGAATCAAGATAAATACTTAACAAATGAGAACATATCTCGACGGGTTAAGTACCTTCCCTTTTGTGGAACGATCTTTTTTACAGCAAGTTTCGTCAGTAGTGCATTTATGGATCAGTGATGCAATGTTTTATGAAGCGTTCAATAAGTAAAACTATTGGAAAGCTAATTTTACCATAAGTTTTTGTTTGTTTGTTTATTCCACCAATGTGCGTAGCTTACAAGAAAGAAAGTTAGGCAAATAGTTTGCTTGGTCTTCTGTAATGATAGATATTTCCCATTACTAGTACGATAGATTGAGCCATTTTACAAAGTGACAGTTGTGCTGGTTGAGGTGATTCAAGAATATATTTTACTCTAGAAAAGTGTGAGGTCGCCGAAGCTAGAGTGAGTCAAGCTAGCAGTAAAGACATGGTGCCCTATAAGCGAGCGTTGACGAGTGGCATGAGATCAATTCAGTAAATAAACGCTTGTGTACGTAACTATGTATGATACTGCAGTACTCTAGGACTGGTCGCACTGTGGGTTTCAATGAATCAAATCGTGTTTGCGATAGTGAAAATGACCTAGTACTGCAGCTTGCTAGTCTTCTCGCTTTCGCTTCTTTATGTAGGGGATGATCAAAGAAGTTGAAGCTGCTAGTATATTATCAGAGATTTCCATTTGCTAACGAGTAGACGGATTTCATCAGTACTTTATTTGGTTCATGGCAATTAGATTACAAGCCGCAAAGCTGCGATACAAATCCAGAAAAGCATCAGACGATCATTTCGTCCTATTGGGGGTCATCAGTAGTGCGATTTTCTCCGGTCCCCTGCGGAGATTTGTCTATTAAAAATTGCATAGACCTGCTTTCGCACCATTTGTTTTGGGATGATAGATCTTCACGTTTTTTATTCATACTTCCAGTTGGTCAGATAGACATAGGCACACTAGCTTTATGTCGTGGCAAATGGAAGTGGGCGCCCTTGTCTAACGCAGTCACATGGACTTAGTACGCTGTCTGAACGACACCACTAGTTAAATTTCTGAAATTAAGACTGTATTGACGAATCTGCATCTTTGTGTTCGGTCATTTAGGTGTGAGTCGAACCAAATCAATAGAGGATTCCTGTTCACTTAGGAATGAAGCACGGACAATGCTGATTTGTATGATACACAATTAAATACTTTTTGCTTACCCAGTAAGATGATGATGGTTATGTCACCATCAGTTCTTGTTGTAACATGAGCAAAGAATTGTAATCGGCATGTGACACAGGAAGGTTTTGTAGTAAAACCTTGTTGGGAACTACTGCGTACGTTTTGTGCTGTCAGAGAATGTGTTATCAGATTCTTGACGATCATTTCTGAGGCTTTATTCGTGTGGCATACTTTCTACTGAAGCGCCTTTGTGTTTCGGCATAATTATCCAATTTCTCCGTTGCGGCAGGACGTAGTTAGTGTTTGAGGACACAGTAAATAGGTTCAACATAAGGTACATTTTCGCCACCAAATGTTCCAACAGCAAATGGATTACTACCAGATCCGGGTTGAAATGTCGGTTTGATCGATGTAATAGTCATCTGAATACCTTTAGACTCAGGCGGATGTCACAGAGTAAATCTTCTGTTTGGAGTATCCACCGTGACAAACAGCCTCAATTGGATCCACAGGATACGTTGGCTACAGATGCTAATCTGTCCCTATGTGAGAGCAGTCTTTTGCACTGCCAAGAAATACAGAATGTATCTATTTACTCATCCGCGATCGCCGGACTGGGATGGTGATATAGGTCGTTTGGTAGGTTATTTGTCACAATTGGATGTACGAAATCAGAATAAAGCCTGAGTTAAATGAATGCCTTAACTAAAGCCAACGATGAACTATCGATTGAATGCGACATCAGTCTCAGCATGGGGTACGTCTCATACATATATGACTGGCGGCAACCGGTTTCAGATTTACCTGTCACTGTGGCCAGCCACAGGACGCCTGTGCCTACGGATGGACCATGGATGGCTTGCGCTGAACCACCCACAGCTCCAACCACACACCCCATATCCAGTGTAAACCCGAAGGAATAAGACCGGGCGGCATGTGGATGGGAGCCACGTTTCATCAACGGAGCAGGCCCACACTCCTTCACAGGCAAACGCAAACACACTGTATTTGGGGAATGAAGCGCACACAAGGCGATGGCTGGACGTACTCCGCTCCATACTGAGTGCATTGAACCACTCTTCAAGCCTAGCACGACCACAAAGACCGTACCAAGGATCCGAATCCCAAACTAAGTACGTCGTACAAAACCTAAACTAGAAACTACGAACAAATAAAGCGAGACTTAATGCACTGTCTGGGTAGAAGAATAAAACGAATTATCCTGTAACCGTGATCCTATAAAGCAAATTAAATATAGTACATGACTTACGAATGGGTTTTGCAATCGTAGTACACGAGGGCAGAAACTGTACAGCGTGCGGCTGCTTGCGAGTATTTGGACAGTGTCACAGTAACATAGTAATACGAATGACCTTGAAACGTTAAGGATATGTTGGTGATCGATTGAAAGGAATGAATATATAATATGCCAACCGATTGTAGGACACAGTAAATCAATGTGAAATGAGCCGAATAATTAAGGAATAGAGATACCGTGTCCTCGTGTAAGCAATCCAGGTTGGGGACGCAGCAAAATACTTTTGACTACACAATCATCCTCATCCTCATCAGCATCAGCAGCAGCAGCAGCAGCAGCAGCAGCAGCAGCAGCAGCAGCAGCAGCAGCAGCAGCAGCAGCAGCAGCAGCAGCAGCAGCAGCAGCAGCAGCAGCAGCAGCAGCAGCAGCAGCAGCAGCAGCAGCAGCAGCAGCAGCAGCAGCAGCAGCAGCAGCAGCAGCAGCAGCAGCAGCAGCAGCAGCAGCAGCAGCAGCAGCAGCAGCAGCAGCAGCAGCAGCAGCAGCAGCAGCAGCAGCAGCAGCAGCAGCAGCAGCAGCAGCAGTAATATTGTAATATTAATAGTGGTGGCAACAGGAGGTCTAGCATCGGCTGTAAATTAGAACTGCTAGTAAACATAAACAGTGGTACCTCGTAGCTCCGCCGCTATATTTGACATTAATTCGGATTCCGTATTCACTTACAGTGCGCGTAGGAAACATATGCTTTGGCCAGAATTCAGCCATTGGGTATGTTTATTGAGATGTACTATTAATGCTGCGGATATTTGACGCAAATGAGCATCTCTGCGTTCGTTTAACACACAGTCCTGAAGCGGACAAGGGCTTCGTTTATGTTGAGGCGTTATCGCATTTCTGAAATGACCCGTAAGACACCGTTACTGTTAGGAATTCAGAGGAGTCTTTCTGTGCACTATCAACAATCTTGTTGTGAATATTGCGAAGTTGATAACAACGTGAGCTTCGATTAAACCACACATGACACACTAGTCGTCAGTGGCAATTCGAATCTTCCTGCACTTCGATACGAAGATTACGTTAAGAATATCGTAAATGGGGTCACAAAGTATATGAATATATGCGGGATTGAGTGATAAAAGTGGAACGTAAGTGTTGCCCCAATCTCAATACGGGGTCCCTGGTCAGTGGGCACAGCTTTAGCAAAGAATTCAACGGACAGAGAAGGAACATCACCACACTACTCAATTCCCAGACCGATGAGATCTCGAACCACAGAGCATAGGTGCTACTGTGTCTCACCAGTGCAGACGATAAGTGGAATGGTCAAACTCAAGGAACGATTGACTGACCGCACTGTCCACTGTGTTCAGAGAATTGACATATGAAACACTGACCATCATCCATCATAATTATGGTGTGATGATATCAAAACCAAAATCTTATATCCTCAAGCAAGGCTCATTTTAATTCTAAAAGCAAACAACGGGTATTTTCCTACCTTAGGGGAAGGGACCGTGGAGAAGCTGCAAACGATTCTATCTGGAAACTCCTCTCTGATTTTGCTGATGAGAAGCGTGCCCATTCCAGCCCCCGTGCCTCCTCCGAGTGCGTGAACCACTTGAAATCCTTGCAGACACTCACATAACTCTGCTTCCTTTCTGACCACCTCTACGATACTGTCTATGAGCTCAGCACCATCGGTATAATGTCCTTTGGCCCAATTGTTGCCTGCTCCAGTGCTTCCAAACACGTAGTTATCTGGACGAAACAGGTGTCCTACCGGCCCGCACCTTACCGCATCCATAGTTCCAGGCTCCAGGTCACAGAGGATGGAACGGGGTACAAATTTTCCACCTGTACAAAATGAAAAAGCGACGCAACGATAGACTGATTATGAATCTTGTAAATACACTAAACGTGTTGTACAACGAGAAACATAGTCGAACCGGTCAATGAAAGGAATGATGTCGTACAAGGTGACGACTGTTATCATGCTTATCTGCGATTGTTATAATGGGCAACAACAATGACAGCAATATATTAGTCCTCTGAACAGATGCTTCGTTGCTGTACAACCATGGTGACCTACGGAACGAAAATAATAAGAAGAACAGGTAGGACCTAGCGTTAAACCTCAATGCCATATATAAAGGTTCCAAGTACATGAACCTACACCTTCTCAAGAACACAGAGCCATAGACAGCTGAGTATTGTGCAAAGACAAGGCGACATCAGCGAGACAGCTTCCTTGCGACTACTACTGCCCCGCGTCATAATCAGCCATTATCGCACAGACAACTCTCTACCCAACCTACGTCCAACAGCCACTCCGACTAGGAGACGGCAGTGCACGCGTCACCGGTGCCAGCTGCAAGCTAGCTCCTGTAGCGTCCCGAGCCAAACCCAAGGCACTAAACGCAGACTCTAGCTTGGAAAGCTAGCGAGAAAAACGGCACCAACTTTGCTTGCCATTGACTTCCTTTCCCAATGCCAAGTTATGTTTGCCCCAGGCAAACAGAACAAACCCCTCTCAGTGTGCGGTTACTGGGTTTACGTAATACGTGCTCAAGCCGATGCAACTTATCCAGGGCCATCTGTTGTGCTAAGCATCTAGCTTGATTGTCCCTGCCCAGCAATCACCCACGCACCTCATCGTTGCGGACACGCTGCTGTCATCCGACATGAGCAATGCCACGCGGAAAACGATTACCACTTGCAGGCGCCGCAGGTCCTCAGATAGAAGTGGCCAATTCTCACTTCCGTAGAGTAGGACAGCCCTCACTGAAACCTTGCAATCAGTACCTTTCAGACCGAAGGAAATCTCTTGCTGACACAAGAGATGTCGCAGATTCGAGTAGTTCTAACTGTTGCAATACGTAAAATGACTTCAGTTGCTATGCGCCCATCGAAGTTGATGCGTAAGGGATGCGTAAGTGAATTGGTCGACTACTCTGAGATGCTTACTATCATAAGTCAAAGAGGCGTCAATCATCTGTTAATCCGGTAACAACACCTTAAATTTTGTAGGTGCGAAGCGCACGCAAAATGATGGGACCGGTTCACTGAGGTTATTCAGGGTTGATTGGGCAGATCCAACATCGATAAAAAGCAAAACAATATCGCGGCATAATCAAGATCAGCTGGCTTTTCATCAGATAGCACCTTTACGCTCTCATCGTGAAGCTCTGCAAGGGTGCACTGCATGATGGAGTTTATGAGGAAGTTGAACAAAACTGAGGAACTTGGGCAACCCTGATGATAAGGCATCGTATACTCGAACGCGGCCAGTGGTGTTCGAGTACAGAGCACGTAACAGATTCACATACTTCACGGGAACACTTCTCCGCATAAATAGTTGGAACAAAGCGGATAGATCGACTGAGTCTACCACACTCATTAAAGAGCTATTAAACCATACTATCAAGATAAGCGTGCACACGGCTGCGGATATTTAGAAGCAATACTCATTAAGGAGTAAATAAACTGAATGTGTGTGTTTCAACAAAATTCCGTTGAAGCGACACGATAATGACAACAGTGCTGAAAAGCTGTGGACTCGCAATGCTACATGCACTGCAACGCCTGGCAAAACTCGTTGGATTTCAAATATATGGGTCCACCGACTTGAAAGATGTCCTTGTGCTACTACTGTACATGAGGTAAGGAAAGAATCAATGCGGTAACAATTAGCGTGGTAACCACTTGCCGAGTTGTGTCTTGAAGATGGTCGACCAACTCCTGCTCAGTCACATTATAACACAGGTTCTGGGACCAAACGTGACCGAACAGCAGGTCGAGTTGCTGCACGATAGTTAGTTGGGAGCAGCAAACTCTCCCAGCAGATTAAAGGGGTTCCGTTATAGTCCTAATTTTCAAGGAAGGCTCACGTTTCAAGAGCGGCAATCATGGAGGGATCAGTCTGATCAAAATTATATCTAAAGCATTCGCCCATGCCGCTGTTACTAGATTGACTGGCGTCCATGAAATCCAGATTCGCGAAGATCAAGCCGGGTTTCATCAAAGTCGCTGCTGTATTGATCAGCTTATGGCAGTTGTTGGAACACCGTTATACTCATCACCGAGCTACCGTAGTCATTTTCTTCAAAATCAAACGTGCCTTCCATTTGATTGCTCGATGTGCGCTTTCGGACTGCATACTCAGGAACGATGTGCCCGACAAATAGGTAAACGTTATCCGAGCGCTTCATGCGCGTAGTTCGGGTAGAGTGATTGGCTTAGGGCAAGGTATTGACGCTCTTCAATAACTCCAGCGGTGTGAGACAAAGGCGCCCGCAGACACCACTCCATTGTGATTTTGGAACGGATCATTCATGGAAATCGTGTTCACTGGACACTAAGTAGAAGGTGTGGAGCTGCTTCTAGGTGACAGTCTTCTTGACTCTGTGTATATTTGCCAGTGTAAGAATAGACATTTAGCCATCAAAAACAATGGAAATAAAAAGGAAGATGCTTTTGTCGTAAAACGCAAATCGAAAGCAACACAAAGAAGTCCCCATTTGCGTCAGAGGGCACGGTACTACTCGATTGCCAAAGAAGAGCTAGGGTGTTGACTTAAGGGACACCAGCCGTAGACATTGACTTAATAGCCTGCCAGCAAAGCAGCGGAGCTAACTCAAGGAATCGCGCTCATTGGGAGTCGGTGACTGACCGCCTAGTTCACACGCTTTTCGTTTGGTCGGTTGCCAAAGAGGGGAACAATCCTCCCTACATATACTGATTAGTAGTGAGGATTTTGGTATAGTTCAGCTAATGCAGCATGGTCACTCTCAAACAGACGTCAGCTTTTCGACCCTCTGAGTGTTGTCAGTGGTGCAACTGATAGCGCACCCCTACCAGGTGCCATCCCCATGACCTCCGGATGCCAGCAGTTAGTGGCACTTCTCCATGGGTAACAGCTGCGGGCCTGCTTGATTGGAAGCTGACTAGGACATAGCCCGGTTCATCTTCCACTGCCACGCAAGTTACGAATTGTGTAGAGGACAGTGGCTAGCCTCCCGAGCCAGGAATTTCCGCATAGCGCCTCGTCGAGACACAAGGAGTTGAAAAATATACGGACAATATTTTTAGGCATTACAGATGAGTACTGAGGATTTTCAGTAAAAATCAGCTAATTCAATATAGCCGCTAAGATTATCCTAAACCTGCTGCTGATGCTGCTGCTACTGCTGCTGCTGCTGCTGCTGCTGCTGCTGCTGCTGCTGCTGCTGCTGCTGCTGCTGCTGCTGCTGCTGCTGCTGCTGATGATGATGATGATGATGATGATGATGATGATGATGATGATGATGATGATGATGATGATGATGATGCAGATGAGGAGGATGAGTATGAAGATGATGATGACGATGCTGATAACAACCATGATTACGACCATGTTTACCAGATTCTGAAGAACCCAAACCACATTTGCCGTCCGCTGCTGGAATTGAACCCCAACATTAAACTAAGAGGTCACCCTCTGAAACTGACAATTCATTATAGCCGGCTTGAATGCCGTAGAAACTTCATTTCCCTCTGTGTGTGCCAGCCTTGGAACACCCTCCCTAATTATGTCGTCTCTGCTGCCAATCTGGCGATATTTAAAAAACGTGTTGACGATGCGTTGTCTCACTTACATTTCATTTTATGACTTGTTAGCCAGGGGCTACAAAACACAATCAAACGGTTTCTTGCCAAACGCCTAACCATTGGATTTATTGATTTATACGTTTAATATGCGAAATTCTCCGCTATTTCACATAAGTCTATGGTGAGTCCACCACAACGCTTTTCACTTCATTATGCCATTTATTTTCGCAATAATTTCCATCCCACGGGACTTGTTAAGCGATGCTCTTTTACCCGTAATAAACCATTGTCCATGATAATGAGACACTACAGATCCAAAATATTTTTATCTGACTATGTAGTGTCGGTGGAAGTTGTTGGGTTTGCTTTTCGAACTTTTCTATCGCATTTTCAGTGTTCGTTTTCCATTTTTAGGTATATCAAAGTTTAGCTGCTTATAGTTGCAAGTGAATTCGCTATGTAGCAATATAAAGGTCCTATTTATATCGGAGATCGAAGTTTTTGGTCAAAAAGCCTTTTAAGAAAACACCGTATAGACGTAGCACAGACATATCCAGAATTTAGTTGTAGCTATATGTTAACTTGGGAACCGTTCTCTAAAGACAAGTTTAGCTATCAAGAAGAGGTTTGGCTGCTAGTCCAGCCAGTACGCACGTGTGTCGAGGTATTAAATCAAGATGGTGAGTCTCAAAATGAATCAGGTGTCTTTTTGTGGCCCACTGATTTCACTTGTTTTCTTGCTGAAACGGTGCGTTTTTCTGGAAAGGACCTGTTGCTTTCTGATGATCGATTTCAACGTTCCACCGACTCCTTCAAAGTGGGATGTTGCACCTCATGACATAACTGTGAGGTATTACGAGTGAAAAGCTGCCACATATTTTCATAAGTGTTGCAATCAGGAATTCTATTCGAACTAGTGGAATGCGTCCTTCCCCTCTATTCAAAAGAGCTTTAGCGCCCCGCAAAAGCAATTAGAGCCGCTCATTTAATTCGTTATAAATAAAGGAAAGTATTCAACTTCTTCCGTTTAGCTTGTTTCTTGCTTTGGCACACGTTCGGGATATCCACTTGTTGGTTACACACTGCAATGCACATTATTTTCTCGGACCGATATCATAAGATTGTAGATGGCTGGACCACTTTTTTGTTTGGGTCTGCAACGTATGTAATATTTTGGGGAATTTCATAAGTAGATAACCCCAAATCAACTATCTCCCGTAGACATCGATGGCGAGGGCAACGTCAATGGCAATCTGTTATCCTTATTG